CCCAGCCCTTTACTCTGAGATAACGTCTGTCTTTGTTGTTGAGATGTGTTTCTTGTATGCAGCAGAAGGAAGGCTTCTGTCTTTGTATCCATTCTGCTAGTCTGTTTCTTTTTATAGGCAAGTTGAGGCCGTTGACATTGAGGGATATTAATGACCATTGATTGGTGATCCTTGTTTGCGCTTGATTTATTGTTAGTGAAGTTATTTTGTGTTGTTTCTCGTCCCTTTTTCTTTTAGTGTTTTGTAAAGTATGATTATATATTGCCTGTGTCTTTGTGAATGTATTTATCTTCCTTGGCTCTAGGTTTTCCTTCTAGCATTTTCTGTAGAGCTGGATTCATGGATACGTATTGTTTAAATCTGGCTTTGTCATGGAATATTTTGTTTTCTCCATCTATGGTAATTGAGAGCTTTGCTGGATATAGTAGTCTGGGCTGGCATCCTTGTTCCCTTAGCGTTTGTAGGACATGTGACCAGGATCTTCTGGCTTTCATCGTTTCCATTGAGAAGTCAGGTGTAATTCGGATAGGTCTGCCTTTGTATGTTACTTGGCCTTTTTCTTTAGCTGCTCTTAATATTTTCTCTTTGCTCTGTAGGTTTGATGTTTTGATTATTATATGGCGAGGTGACTTCTTTTTCTGGTCAAGCCTATTTGGTGTTCTGTAAGATTCTTGTACTTTCATAGGCATATCTTTCTTTAGGTTAGGGAAGTTTTCTTCTATGATTTTGTTGAATATGTTTTCTGTACCTTTGAGTTGAAGTTCTTCATCTTCTTCTATACCTATTATTCTCAGGTTTGGCTTCTTCATGGTGTCCCATATTTCCTGGATATTTTGTGTTAAGGATTTGTTGGTTTTAATATTTTCTTTGGTTGACGACTCTATATCCTCTAATGAGTCTTCAACACCTGAGATTCTCTCTTCTATCTCTTGTATTCTATTGGTGATACTTGCATCTGTAGTTCCAGACTGTTTACCGAGCTTTTCTATTTCCAGCATCCCTTCATTCTGTGTTTTCTTTATCGTTTCTATTTGAGCATTCAATCCTTCAACTGTTTGAGCTGTTTCCTTAATTTTTTTGGTTGTTTTTTCTTGGTGCTCTTTAGATTCTTTGAGAGATTTGTTTATTTCTTGAATTTTTCCCCCATTTCATGGATTTTTTGTTTGTTTTTTCTTCTATTTCTTTAAGGGATTTCCTCGTTTCTTCTTTGATGCTATCCATCATCTTCATGAAATAATTTTTAAGGTCTGTCTCCTCTTCTTCATCTATGTAGTGCTTTTCGGGACTTGCTGGTGTTGGATCCCTGGATTCTGGTGGGGTCATGTTGGTGTTTCTATTGCTGAGTGATCTCTTAATCTGTCTTCTTCCTATCTCTTCTTCCAGTGGGTGCTGGTGGGGTCTTTCTGTCTCCACTGGTCTCCTTCCTTACTGCAGCTGAAGCTGGGGATGCTGAAGCTGGACTCGCTGGGGTTGGGGTCTTGGAGGGTTTGATCTCTTTCCTGAAGCTGGACTCGCTGGGGTTGGGGTCTTGGAAGGGCTGATCTCTTTCCTGTGTGGGCGGCTCTTCTGGATGCAGGGAGCAGCCCAGAAGATCGTGGGGGTATGGGTGATGGGCAGGCGGTCCCCACTGGAGACCCAATCTCACCTGAAGCTGGGCTCCCTGGGGTTGGGGTCTTGGAGGGTCTGATCTCTTTCCTGTGTCTATGGAATATCTTGTTTTCTCTGTCTATAGTGATTGAGAGCTTTGCCGGGTATAGTAGTCTGGGCTGACATCCATGGTCTCTTAGTGTAGGTAGAATATCTATCCAGGACCTTCTGGCTTTCAGAGTTTCCATGGAGAATTCAGGTGTAATTCTGATAGGTCTGCCTTTATATGTTACTTGATTTTTTCCTTAGCTGCTCTTAATATTCTTTCTTTATTCTGTATGTTTGGGGTCTTGATTATTATGTGGTGAGGGGATTTTTTTTTTGTGGTCCACTCTATTTGTTGTTCTGTAGGCTTCTTGTACCTTCATTGGCATGTCTTTCTTAAGGTTGGGAAAGTTTTCTTCTATGATTTTGTTGAATATGCCTTCTGCCCCTTTGATGTGGATTTCTTCTCCTTCTTCTACACCTTATATTCTTTGGTTTGGTCTTTTCATGGTGTCCCATATTTCCTGGATGTTTTGTGTTACGGATTTGTTGGATGTAAGGTTTTCTTTGGATGATAAATCCATTTCTCCTAGTGTATCTTCAACTCTTGAGATTCTCTCTTCCATCTCTTCTATTCTGCTGGTAATGTTTGTATCGCTAGTGCCTGACTGTTTGTCCAGCTTTTCTATTTTCTGCCTTTCTTCAGATTGTGTTATTTAATGTCTCTATTTCCGTTTTCTACCCTTGCAGTGTTTGCATTTCTTCTTGCAATTTTCTGTTCATCTTTTCGTCCATTTGTGGCCTTTTATGAATTTTATTGGTTTGTTCTTTCTTCCCTTTCTTGCATTTTTTTGGTTCGCTTTTTGTTCCATTTCTCGCATTTTGTGCTTTGTTTCTTCTTCCATTTCCTGCCTTTTTTGGTTTGTTTCTTCTTCCATTTTTTCATTTTTTGCTTTGTTGTTTCTACCATATCTTGCATTTTTTGCTTTGTTTCTTCTTCCATTTCCTGCCTTTTTTGTATGTTTCTTCTTCAAATTCTTACATTTTTTTGCTTTGTTTTTTCTTCCATTTCTCGCATTTTTTGCTTCGTTTCTTCTTCCATTTCCTGTCTTTTTTGGTTTGTTTTTTCTTCCAATTCTTGCATTTTTTGGTTTGTTTTTTCTTCCATTTCTTGCATTTTTGGTTTGTTTTTTCTTCCACTTTTTTGAGGGATTTTCCTATATCCTCTTTTAGGGCCTGTATCATTTTCATGAAAGTGCTTTTAAGGTCATTCGCTTCTGCTTTGTTCATATTGGAATGTTGGGGTCTTGCTGGTGTGGAGTCTCTAGAATCTGGCGGTGTCATATTTGTTTTTCTGGTGCTGAGTGTGTTTTTGTATTGTCTCTTTCCCATCTCTTCTTCTAGTGGGTGCAGAAAGAGCCCCTTACTGGTCTGGGGACCAGAGTTCCCTTTTGGTGGGTGCTAGCAAGTACAATTATCTGGTGGTTCTTCTATTCCTTGTCCAAATGCTGGTCCCGTGGGTGGAGAAGAAGAACAGGAATCTGGGGCGCTTAGCCTCCTACCTGATCCCCTGGACCCTATGCTGGGTACTGTTGTACCTGAACCGGAACAGCTACTCCCATGGTCTCCCTGGCTTCTCTGGTTTCCTGGTCTCGTTGCCAGGAGAGAATACCTGGAGTCTGGGGCGCTTGGCTCCCGCCGGGGTTGGGAGCTCTGTGCAGGTCCCAGGCGATCTGCAGGTACTGGAACACAGGCCAGGAAGCCGGCCTGTTTACCTGATGCTGCTGCAGGAACAGCTGCTTCCGTGGACTCCCAGCCTCCTCTGGTTTCCGGATCTCGTTAGTGGGAGAGAAGATCTGGAGTCTGGGGAGTGAAGAAAATTTTATGGTTCCAAATTTGTAAGTCAGTGTCAGCACAATCGCAATGCTCATGTTTGGTATGCCCAATATCTACATTGTGATGATTGTGTGCATTTATAATCAGTGCTTAGGGGTACATAATGATAAATTGCAAATGCAGTTACCTTTTGCCACACCTAGCCACGATTAAAAAATCACTGATTTCCTAATCATTGTCACTGCCAGCATTCAATGCATGAGTAGACAGACCATGGGAAGGGCATATTAAGGCATGTTTAAAATATTTATCATCTGATCATTCACTGTGTCTCACTAGGTTCAAGATATCTCATCTGCTCTACACAGAGCTATCCTATTTCACTCTGACATCACTGAGTATTCACCATTGTAGGATGCATAACCTCAAGTTTCTTTACTGCCAAAGCACTACATGCATAGGATCCCTTCACCTGTTCTCTTACACTGCCTTGTCACAGGAAGGATGGAGGCCTTTATAGCTTGGGATGACATTATGTGTTTTAAATTTTATGCCACTTATGTGTGGTGAGTGGGTATCCACATAATGCTGAGCCTGTGCATCTATGCCAAGAGGGTTATGCATGTCTAGTTGCACATTGTGGAAATGCCTCATATGGTCTGTTGCCTGCATATCAGGACAAATTCAGTAATCCTAACAAAAATTGGAATCTGGTTTAACTTACTGATGTGTACATTAGTCCACTAGAACACTGTGAGTCTCTGTCTCCCTTTTCACCCTCAGAAAGGTAACATAGTGATCTCACAGCATTCCTGGGCCTGCAGACTGGACACTCCTGAGCAACATCTATGCAAGACTGGACTATGAATACTTCCTTGCACAGTGAGAACATAAAGCTCTTGCCAAGGCAGTAACAATCAGTATTGAATGTATTTATAAAATACATTCTCCTATCCATGTTCTGTGTAATTACAATGGACTGAATGTCCTGATCAACTTCTTGATCCCACCTGTTCGGAAATTCACAGCTCAGTTAACCAATGTCTACTAATTGGTATTCTAAAAGTCAAGACATCTTTAAGTACCATCCTTTTATCTTGGTCTTAGTCAGATTGGATTCAAAATTGGAAGGGAGAACCCAAGGTTTATGGCTTAGATTTCATGGGATTATAAGGTCTTCTTTTCTAATGTTTGAAAGAGGATATCTAAAGGAGACCTAGGTACTTAAGCTGATATTTACTCGCACCTGTGGGTGAAATGATGGAGTAACTAAGACTGCATTATCGTTCACTGAAATGCAGAAGAGAATAGATGAAAATGAAAAGTGTGCTGAGGCCTGCGGTCTGGACATACTTAGATTTTGCCAAAAAAGTGACTTCCTTGGCAGGACTCATGCTCCCCTAGAGAAGACCACATGGACTTTACAGGATTCCCCAGAAGGGAAACACTGCTGGGTGAATGAGGCCTTTGCACGGGCTAATGGGAAAGGCCATATTGCATTAGTCCCTCATTTATCCCTTGTCCTTTAACCCTGGCCTCAGCAGCTGGAACCAGAGCATGATATTTTTGTCATCACCTCTCTTCATGATGTAGGTATGTCATCATGGACCCGTTTCCTCAGAAGGCATAGTTATTCCTGGTATTGGCACACATTCAGTGCTACTTACAAGGATGACAAAAGACCATCTATTCAGAAGGAAGGTCTCGGCAGGCTTCGCACAAATGGTCAGCGGGCATAAGACTCTTGAGGGTATCAAGCAGAATCAGTTGCCTCATGTGGCCTGTTGCCTGCACATCAGGACAAGTTCACTAATCCTAACAGAAAGAATCGGTATCTGAGTTTAACCTACTGATATGTACATTAGTCCACTAGAACACTGTGACTGTGTGTATCTATTTAGACCCTCAGAAATTTAACCTAGTAATCTCCCTGCCCTCCTGGGGCTGCAGACTGGACAATACTGAGCAACATCTATGCAAGACTTGAGCAGGATTAATTCCTGGCACAGTGAGAACATAAAACTCTTGCCAAGGTAGTAGCAATCAATGTGGAATATATTTGAAAAATACATTCACCTATCAATATGCTGTGTAATAAAATGGAATGAAAGTCCTGATCCATTTCATGGTACCACCTGTTCAAAAATTCACAGCTCATTTACCCAATATCTACTAACTGTAATTATAAGTTAAGGCTTCTTCAATTACCATCCTTTTATCATGGTTTAGTCAGATTGGATTCCAAAAATGAAGGGAGAATCCATGTTTTATGACTTGGATTTCATTGGAATCCTAGAAGGTCTTGCATTCTAATGTTTGAAATATGATATCAAAACAATACCTGGGTACATACACTGATATTGCCACATACCTGAAGGAGAAATGATTGATGCACCAAGTCTGAATCCTAGTTCACTGAAATGCATAAGAGAATAGATGGAAATGACCATTGTGCTGATGCCGCCATATGGACATACTTTCATTTTGCCAAATGAGCCTTCCTTGGGAGGACTCATGCTCCCCTAAAAAAAGAGCAACTGGACTTAACAGGATTCCCCAGAAGGGTAACACTGCTTGGTGAATGAGGGCCTGTACACGGGCCTATGGGAAAGGCCTGATGGGACTAGTCCCCCATTTCTCCCCTGTCTTTAACCTGGGCCTCAGCGGCCGGAACCTGAGCATGATTTTTATGTCATCACCTCTCTTCAGGACGTAGGTTTCTCATCATAGACCCGTGTCCTCAGAAGGCACAGCTAGACATTCTAGTGGGACACAAACAGTTCTACTTACCAGGATGACAAAGACCATCTATTCAAAAGGTATGTCTCAGCAATCTTCACACAAATGGTAAGCGGGCTTTAGCGTCCTGAGGGTATCAACCAGAATCAGTAATCTCAGTGAAGAAAATTTATGGATCCAAATTTACAAGTCAGTGTCAGCACAATCGCAATGCTCAAGTTTGGAATTCCTAATAACTACAACGTGATGATTGTGTGCATTGATAATCAGTGCTTCAGGTTAGATATTGATAAATTGCAAATGCAGTTATCTTTTTTCCACACCAAGCCAAGATTAACCCATCACTGGCTTCATCCTCATCCTCACTGCAAGCATTCAATGCTTGAGGTGACAGACTATGGGAGGGGCATATTATAGGTCTGTTGATAACATTTTAGCATTGATCATTCACTGTGTCTCACTAGGTTCAAGAAATCGATTCAGCTCAGCACTGAGCTATCCTATTTCCCTGTGACATCACTAGGTACTCACCATTGTAAGATACATAACCCCAAGTTTCTAAAGGGCCCAAGCACCACAAGCATGGGATGCCTCCACCAGTACTCTTACCCTACCTTATCACAGGAAGGATGGAGTCTTTATAGCTCGGGGTGACATTCATGTGTTTGAAATTTCACAGCACATATATGTGGTGAATGTGTATCCAATAATGCTGAGCCTGTGCTTATATGCCAAGATGGGAAGGCCTGTCCAGTTGCACATTGTCGTATTGCCTCATGTGTCCTGTTGCCTGCATATCAGGATAAGTTCACTATTCCTAACAAAAATAAATGGTATCTGAGTTTAACTTACTGATGTGTACATTGGTCCACTAGAACACTGTAACTGTGTATATCTGCTTAGACCCTCAGAAAGTTAACCTAGTAATCTCTTGCACTCCTGGGCCTGCAGACTGGACAATCCTGAGAAACATCTATGCAAGACTGGAGCATGAATAATTCGTAGCACAGTGAGATCATAAAACACTTGCCAAATAGTAACAATAAATGAGGAATGTATTTGAAATATACATTCACCTGTCAATATGCTGTGTAATTAAAATGGACCCAAAGTCCTGATTCATTTCTTGTTCCCACCAGTTTGAAAATTCACAGCTTAGTTACGCAATATCGACTAATTGGAATTATAAAGTCCAGGCATCTTTATTTAATTTCCGTTTATCACGGTCTTAGTCAGATTGGATTCCAAAAATGAAGTGGTAATCCATGTTTTATGACTTGGATTTCATTGGAATCCTTGAAGGTCTGGCTTTCTAATGTTTGAAGGATAATATAAAAATGAGACGTGGATACATACACTGATATTGCCACGTACCTGAAGGTGAAAATATTGAGGCACCATGTCTGACCCCTCGTTCACTGAAATGCATAAGAGAATAGATGGAAGTGAGCATTGTGCTGATGCCGCCAATGGACATACTTAGATTTTGCCAAAAGAGCCTTCCTTGGGAGGACTTCTGCTCCCCTAAAGAAGAGCAACAGGACTTAACAGGATTCCCCAGAAGGGTAACACTGCTGGGTGAATGAGGGCTTGTACACGGCCTATGGGAAAGGCCTGATGGGACTAGTCCCCCATTTCTCCCCTGTCCTTTAACATGGGCCTCAGCAGACCGAGACAGAGCATGATTTTTATGTCATCACCTCTCTTCAGGACGTAGGTTTCTCATCATAGACCCTGTCCTCAGAAGGCACAGCTAGACATTCTAGTGGGACACAAACAGTGCTACTTACCTGGATGAAAAAGACCATCTATTCAGAAGGTATGTCTCATCAATCTTCACACAAACGGTCAGCGGGCAGTAGAGTCCTGAGGGAATCAACCAGAATCAGTAATCTCAGTGAAGAAAATTTATAGATCCAAATTTGCAAGTCAGTGTCAGCCTAATCGCAATGTTCAGGTTTGGAATTCCCAATATCTACAATGTGATGTTTGTGTGCATTGATAATCAGTGATTCGGGTTGATAATGAAAAATTGCAAATGCCGTTATCTTGTGATTAACACACCACCGGCTTAATCCACATCCTCACTGCCAGCATTCATTGTTTGTGCTGACATACCATGGGAAGGGCATATTATAGCTCTGCTGAAAACATTTTATCATTGATCATTCACTTTGTCTCACGAGGTTCAAGACATCTCACCTGTTCAGAACTGAGCTATCCTATTCCCCTGTGACATCACTAGGTACTCACCATTATATGATGTATAAATCAAGTTTCTTAGTGCCCAAGCACCACAAGCATGGGATGCCTTCACCAGTTCTCTTACCCTACCTTATCAAAGGAAGGATGGAGCCTTTATATCTTGGGATGACATTCATGTGTTTGAAATTTCATGGCACTTATATGTGGTGAGTGTGTATCCAATAATGCTGAGCCTGAGATTATATGCCAAGAGGGGAAGGCATGTCCAGTTGTACATTGTTGTATTGCCTCATGTTGCCTGTTTGCTGTATATCAGGGCAAGTTCACTAATCCTAACAAAAAGAAACGGTATCTGAGTTTAACCTACTGATATATACACTAGTCCACTAGAACACTGTGAGTGTGTGTCTCCCTCTTTACACTCACAAAGGCAACTTAGTGATTTCTCTGCACTCCTGGCCCTGCAGTCTGGACAATCATGAGCCACATCTATGCAAGACTGGAGCATTAATATTTCCTGGCACAGTGAGTACATAAAACTCTTGCCAAGGTAGTAACAATCACTGTGGAAGGTATTTGAAAAATACATTCACTTATCAATATGCTGTGTAATAAATTGGACTGAAAGTCCTGATCCATTTCTTGGTACCACCTGTTCAAAAATTCACAGCTCAGTTACCCAATATCTACTAATTGGAATTACATGTCAAGCCATCTTTAATTACCATCCTTTTATTATGGTCTTAGTCAGATTGGATTCCAAAAACGAAGGGAGATCCCAAGTTTTATAGCATAGATTTCATTGGAATCCTAGAAGTCTTGCTTTCTAAAGTTTTAAGGATGATATCAAAACAAGACCTGGGTACATACACTGATATTGCCACGTACCTGAAGGTGAAATGATTGAGGCACCATGTCTGACCCATCGTTCACTGAAATGCATAAGAGAACAGATGGCAATGAGCATTGTGCTGATGCCGCAATATGGACATACAGAGATTTGGCCAAAAGAGCCTTCCTTGGGAGGACCCCTGCTCCCCTAAAGAAGAGCAACAGGAATTAACAGGATTCCCCAGAAGGGTAACACTGCTGGGTGAATGAGGGCCTGTACACGGGCCTATGGGACAGGCCTGATGTGACTAGTCCCCCATTTCTCTCCTGTCCTTTAACATGGGCCTCAGCAGACCGAGACTGAGCATGATTTTTATGTCATCACCTCTCTTCAGGACGTAGGTTTCTCATCATAGACCCATGTCCTCAGAAGGCACAGCTAGACATTCTAGTGGGACACAAACAGTGCTACTTACCAGGATGACAAAGACCATCTATTCAGAAGGTATGTCTCATCAATCTTCACACAAACGGTCAGCGGGCATTAGAGTCCTGAGGGAATAAACCACTATCCATAATCTCAGTGAAGAAAATTTATGGATTCAAATTAACAAGTCAGTGTCAGCCTAATCGCAATGATCAGGTTTGGAATTACCAATATCTACAATGTGATGATTGTGTGCATTGATAATCAGTGATTCGGGGTAGATAATGAAAAATTGCAAATGCCGTTATGTTGTGATTAACCCATCACTGGTTTCATTCACATCCTCACTGCCAGCATTCATTGTTTGTGCTGACAGACCATGGGAAGGACATATTATAGGTCTGGTGAA